AAGTAGCAAACTTTTTTGGTTAAAATTTTATAGATAAATGCCAAGAAAAGACACTAATCAATAGTCAAAGTGGACATGCCACACTTGGTTGTGGCGATTCGGTTGTAAAAGAGGCACAATTATAAGAGAAAATGACAAATAATGAACCTTGGCATTCGCATACTTTCGTCATATGGCCGGCTTAAAGCAATCCCTGTCCTCTTGTGTCTTTTAACTCTCTTCTTAATTTATGTTTTAGGATCCTCCAAGGATACACTAATGAAAGAGGAAGATGAGTAGACAGACAACTTAAAAACTCAATTTATTGAAGGTCCAAGGAGGAGGTGACAAAGAGGAAGAAGAGGTTACTAACAACCATCCAAAACATTGGCGCTGGAATGGAGATTAAGGACAATCGCTCCATCTAATTGCATAAAAAGCAACTCCATTTTTTAGAGAAAGACAAGAACCATTTATGTTGAATTTGTCTGCTTATAGAAACCCTACCATTATCCTGTGTCTCTGTATGCATTTGTCATATCTTGGACATTTCTCCTGTATTTGCATTATATATATGGATACATGTTACTGGTATGTTACTTCACTCACTCTGCTAACTAAATTAGTTGCCTTCTCCTTACTTCGTGCATGTAAATGGCCAAGTCAATTATGTTTAGAGTTTCAATATTGATCCTATTCATTTTATTAGCCCATGTAATCAGTTCAAGAGGAGAAAGTTATCGGGGGCTTAAAACAATTCATACAAGGTTTGACAGTGAACGTATTTTTTGTGAATTAGGCTTCGATTTGGCAAAGATGGAACTTAGTAACAGAAGGTCGATCATGGATACAGAAAGGCTTGCACCCGGAGGTCCAGATCCTAAACATCACTAGCGACCTCCGACCACGGCCTAGCTTTACTAGAAGGAGTAGTTCATTCCAACCAAATGAAGAAGTGAATAATTTGTGTTCCCTTTTATGTTGCAAATTTTTCTTCTTTTTTCCAGCTCAATGTTTTAGCAAATTTAATGTTGTTATCCCTACTTTTATGGAAGAAAAGTATTCGAAAAAGGACTATACATTATGTCTATAGTTTTTCCTTTCTGTTGTTTTGCTATGCAATACGTCCTGTGCATTCTTATATGCTGATTCATCATTATTGAAGATTCCAAAATTCTAGGAACTCAGTAACTCATGGCATAAAATTCAAATTGCATATATAATAATTTAAGAATGAGAAGTAATCTTTTTTGTCTGCTTAGCATGCATGTTAGTTTTATCATTATCAACATTTCTCTAGTTTTCTCCCTAACAGTTTTTATTTTTTCCCTAAACCAATTACAATATACCAATTATTCTGATACTCATCTCTAGTATTCCACACTTGGAGCAACTCCATCGCCTTTAAATTCCGCGATTTGGGCCCAAAATATTGTAGTCCAGAAAGTCATTTAAAGGCGTGTTTGGCTAAAAATAAATTTCAGAAACCAGTTTTTGAGGTTTTTTTTGGTCATTTTTTTTTTCATGTTTGTCCAAACATGGGTTTCGTCTGCTTAGCATGCATGTTAGTTTTTTCATTATCAACATTGCTCTGATTTTCTCCCAACAACTTTTATTTTTTCCCTAAAACAATTCCAATTTGGCAATTTCGCCATACTGTTGAATTGTGGCCGTACACAGGTAGTGGTGGAGTAGGGCTTCAACATATAATGCACAAAATGAAAAATCATGTAAGATGATAGCAGCACCTTTGGCACAAAATAGCAGCATTTTCGATCTCCCATCTTTACTATTACCAACATGACAGAAAATCTCTTCCAAAGACGGTCTACACAGGCAAACAGACTCTTCCAGCGCAACAAAGGTCCCCATCTCATCTTTGTTTCCCAGAAATTAGATTTTGAAAGTATATACCATTCACATCTCTAGCCTAGAAAGAAGTTGTTTCATGCACCAACCGCTAAGGCTTGAATAATCTCTACTTAGAAATAAAATGGAGATTTTTCTTTAAGCTCGTCGCAAAAAAAATTCAAATGACATAGATGGCTTTCAACTCTATTCCCAAACATTCATAACTTAAAGGGGAATCGTTTTCCTTCCCGTGGTTTTTCAAAGAAGCTAGCCAATGTTATTGATTATTTGTCCATCATGAAGAGAAGCACACCATTGAGAGACCCCTTCTGTTATCTCTTACTTAGTCCTCAATGAATTGCTTGTCACTTCTCCCATCAAACAAACAATTTATTTAGCAATAATGCACTTGGTGTTTATCCATCAATCATTAATTTAATTATTTTCTTCTAATCCAGCAGTCAATCAATAATAGGTATCAGTCAGGCTAATACATCCAAGAATTTTGAGAAGGCTGTGAAATTGTATTAATTAAGCAATCCTTTTACGTAAACAAACAAGAGAACTATAACTGAAATTTGATAGAAGAGGAACACTGATGGAAGTGACCTTATCTAGTCTTTGCAGTGCCATATGTCACGTCCCGCCTAATTGTGTAGAAGTGATGAGGCCATGTCTGTGTGCAAGTGCAATGAGAGAATTGTAGGAAGAGTAGGAAGAATCTAAAATGTTTGAGGAGTTTTGTAAATATGTATAGTAGAGAAAATTCTAGATAAGTAGAGAATTTTGAAGAGCGGTAAATATCTAGAATGTATGGGCATTTTTGCACTCCCCGTCTTTAGTAGGAGTTGAGTGTAGTTACGATGCGTATAAATAGATGAGGAGATAGGTGTAAAAAACAAGCTCTTGCAATTAGACTGAAAAACTATAAGTGAGAATGGAAACGTGGAGTAGTGAGAGAGTCTTGTACACGACTTGAGCAGTGATAGAATTATTCCTCTTACCAACCGAAGAGTGAGGTATGAGTGGGAGTGTGTTTACACGAGCGATTGGGTGAGTTAGACCGATGAAATTCTTATCACGAGGACGTTTTGATAAATCTCCGCATCAGTCTATAGGTGAAGATTTGAAAACAAAACATTGCTGTTGTTAACCATGTTTATTCTATATCACTTTATTTGGCGATTTGGAGTAATAAATTCCAAGAATAATTTTTTGAAAGAATGTAAAAAATATAAATAAATAAAAAGTAGAAAAGAGAAATAACACATAAAACCCTTCCTCGTATTTCTTTTCCCAATCTCTACGATAATCAAATAAGAGAGCCACAATTTCTTTTGCATTTTTTTAGTAAGAAAATTGAATAAGAGAACACAATTTATTTTGTATTTTCTTTTCTATTCTCCAAAAACCTAAGAGAATGAAGAATAATCTGAAATGTCAAAAAAACATAAAATAAGCTTACTAGATAAGAGAACAGATAAATTTTCTTTATGACAATCTGTTTTTTTCTAAATAATTTCATTTGAATGGGAGTGCATTGTGTATTGCTTTCCGAGAAAAAAGTAAGGGACGTAAGGGAGCTTGGAATGCCATAGGAAGTTCTACAATGAGGAAGCAGCCATGACAGTGGAGCTGCTTCTTATTAGCAGCTTCAGCATCAATATTTTGACAAACAAGTTAGGGAGTTCAACACATATTTGCATCAAAGTTGTTGCTTCTTATTAGCCACTGACATATCATCTCTTCTAGCCTTTTGAACGATTGGCTTCAAGGATACATCTCCTGTAGCTTACTAAACTTTTGACATTCTTGCCATTACAAACCTGACAAGCAGACTCTTCCAGCATTACAAAGGATCTTATCTTTGTTCCCCAGAAATTAGAATTTAAAAGTGCATACCCTTCACAACTCTAGACTAAAAACAAGTTTAATCTTGCACAAATCACTAAGCTTGCTTGGCCAATCCCTACTTAAAAGGAAGAATTTTCTTTAAGCTCCGCAAATGTCAAAGGAACATTCATAATTTAAAGGGGAATTAATTTTCCTTTTCGTGGTTTTTCAAAGAAGTTTATTTTAGTAATTATTTGTCCATCATGAAGAGAACACGCAAGTGACACACAAAAAATTATTAGATAGTCCTGGACCATTAACACTTGGTGGACCAGTTAAATACAGACTCTTGGATTAAGAAAATGGCCCCACAAGAGTGTATTAATAAATTAAAAAGTTTCATGGTCGGAGGGTTTTTATTAAATTAGTTCACCAAGTGTCAAATAGATCAGGACCATGTAATAATTTCTCGTGAAAAACCCTTCTGGTATCTACATATCACATAGTCCTCAAGGAGTTGTTTGTCACTTTTCCTAACAAACGAACAGATATTTAGCAATAATGCATCCATCAATCATTAATTTAATTATTTTCTTCTAATCAGAACTCAATCAGTCAGAGGTATCAGCCAGTCTAATACATCCAAGAATTTTGAGAAGAAAGTGATATTGTATTAGTTAAGCAATCCTTTCATGTAAACAAACAAGAGAACTAGAACAGAAGTTTGATAGTAGGAGGAATACTAAAAAAAAAAAAATTCTAGGCAAGAATGTTAAATTAGAAGTTAGAGCTGGGAAGGCTCGAAGCCAGGCTTCCAAGTACCATGGAGAGCAACCCAACTGCTGGGCTACAAATGCATTCACATAAGAGGAATACTGATGGAAGTGACCTTAATTAGTCTTTGCATCGACATATGGCAAAGGAGAGAGATACCACAAGGCCAGTGCACTTGGTTGAGGAGTTTCAATATTAATCAATACTGATTCGATTTTATGAGCATCAAACATAGAGAACTGTTCAGATTTCAACTGCCTTCTTTGTACTGCAAACCAAATTTGCAGTTTCACTAGCAGCCCATATAAAAAGAAACTGACTACTCATTTTGATATGTTGTTTCATTATTTATTTTTCACTAATCAGTATGGGGCTAAATCCTGTATCAAAAGAACAATAGCATATCAAACATAACTTAATTCTGTTTTGTATAACTATTGTTCTTTTCTTTTATTTATTTACTTATTTTTTATCATCAGAGCAACGCATTGTCTAGAAAAAAGGGAACCATACAAGGAAAGAGGGATTTAATAAGAAAATTATATCCATTAAAAAAAAAAAAGTACCAAAAAAATACTAACTGCATTAGAACATCTGAGTAATAAGTTAACATGATTTCGTATTCAAGTTGGCTGTTCATAACATCATTTTGTAACCAAAATAGGCAAGATAACTTACAATGAAAAAAAGATCCTACTAGGGATATGCATTGTTTCACTGCTGAAAAGACCTGAGGGGATCAGTAGGGTCAATCTCTGCTATGAGCGGGAGATCAACGGGTAAAGTTTCAAGACTCAATCCTGTCTCTCTCAGCTTGCAAATCACTTCCTCAAACACAACCCTGTTGCCAAGTTCAGTCAGGTGCAAACCATCTCTGCATTCATACAATAAGGGTATATCATAAATCACTATCATACACTTGACTTTTTACTTGTACAGGCAACAAGTTCACCCAACCAACTTAGCTAGTTATACCACATGCCAAGTTCGGAAATAAAAAAAGGTCATCATAAATATTTTGAATAAAAAATTAAACCTAGAAGAATATTTTTCAATTTCATATGGTTAAATGAACCACTAAATGTAATCAAATATTAGACCAAAGCAGAAAGAAAAAATAAATAAACCTTCAGGATAAGCCATCTAGCATCCAGATATTCTATAAAATCTTCAAATATCTTCCATTTATATTGCAATCTTCAATAATTAAAAGAAATCTACATGACTAGATAATCAATGCAACTAAAATTGACTAGCGAATCTGCAGTTGAAGCCGGTCTTGCCAAAGCTCTTTAACCGGTTCCTCAAGGACAGGAAAGATGGATCAGATTACAGTCCTATCAGTGCAAACATTTGGCTTTCTACTAAAAGGAGGAACACGCAGCCTGAATGGGGAAATGGAGAGAAGGTACCCAGCTTAAAGGGGCATACAAGTCAGGGGAGTCAAGGAACTATTCATACGTTGTTGAATAGAAATAAAGAATGCCAATCTTTGAAGTGAGCTCCAGTCGACTCAAACATTTGAGTGGCTAGCCTTTTGAGGGCTAATTCCTTCCTTTTCACTAATGTTTGCTCTGGTTAGGTTCTGGAAATTCATTTATTTTGTTCTGGAATGCATATTGCTGTCTTGACCTTCGGGTTAGGACCCCTCTCTGGAATTTGAGCTATAGTAGTTTCTGTTCAGGGGATATGCCCCTAGCTAAATATTCCGCTTAATAAGTACCTTAGATAAATCTTTTGCCAAAATTTGATAAGTACCTTAGATAAATCTTTCGCCAGTCAGGATTCTGTTGCATTTTGTTCCAAAGATCCAGCACTGGGAGCCCACATTCTCCAGCGACGGATACACATGCCTTGGCATAAGCACCAGCAGCCTCATTTGTCCTCTCTGGCAAACCCAATTGATTTTCAATGAAAGGGTATCTGCATTGTTTTAGTTCACAAAATCAATCATATTTCTCTCTTATCTGATAATTGCACATGATCTTAAAAGGTCAATCATCATGCATTGTTAAAAAAAGGGTTACAGGCCATGAAAGCCTTAAATCAAAGAAATATATGTATATGTAAAATAATAAATTAATTTGAATATAAAGGTGTGTATATAGAACTTTACAAAAGCCGTCCAGCTTCGTCGATGGGTGGAGGAGTTATGAGGAGAAGCTCAGTTGTTGGCCATCGCTTCTGCAACCCAAACCAAAATTAACACATAACATCAGCAAAGAAAATTAGCACACGTGGAATTGAATTTGTTAAAGAACAAAGGAAGTTCTTTTAAGTGAGATGACTGCAGTTTACAAGTACTTTTTTCACATACATATATACTAACAAAAGTTTAAAGAAAACAGATTAATAGGCTTTGTATTTGTAAAGGAAAAATGATTTAAACGTTGAAGTATGAACAAAATAGTTTAAATACATGTTGGGTTGCATGGAACTGGTGCTTTGGAATTGGAATTTGTTCAATTCCAATTCCAAGGCATCAATTCCATGCCACCGAACATTGCGTCCGTCCAAGTAAAAACTTCTTAAGGTCCTCATGCATCAAGAGTACTATCCTCAATTGTTAAACACAACGCCTCCCAGAATAAAATTTTAATTGTACTTAACAACTGATATAAGGACTTGTGCATTTATAATATGCGAAAGAACTGCAAATGATGAGAGTTGTACATGATTAACTGTTGTAATAAAATTACAATAAAATTCATGGAATGAGTAAACCTATTTTATATTGTGCAATGTCAAATTATGACGTGAAACATAAAATAGAAAAAAAAACATTCGATTCACCCCTCAAAGCTTACTTTATCTGCCACTAAATGACATGCAAGCAACAAAGCAATTCCTGCATATTCAGGAATTATTCTGCACATTTATCTGTCATATTATGCTCCCTTACTTTATTCTAATTTCTAACTACTCAAAAAGAAATTCAGTAATCTATACAAAGCCAACCAAGTTATGAGTAATGTCGTACTTTCGAACTTAAAAAAACCATGGTCAGGGGCCATAATTACATACCAACTTGTGGGTCCAAAGTTGTCTTGTTTTGTAGAAGAAATCTATATATGATTGATAAGAATATGAATGTTTAATATGGGCATTTAAAATGTTGATGTAACGTTACCAGTTGGAACCCATAATGGTGTTCAAACAGAAAATGACACAGCGCATAAAGCAGTCTAAGAGCCACAAAATCAAAGGGCGAATGGTATATGTAAGGTGTGTGTGTGTGAGTACTTACACAATATATTAAAAAATAAAAATAAGAAAAAGGTGCCCGCCCAAGTGGGAAAAAATAACGTCGTGCTGTTAAAAATAAATAAATAAATAAAATTGGGAAAACAATAACAGTGACAACTGGGCCTCACGCGCACTTTGAATGGTACTAACTCTTCCTTAAAGGTGTTCTATTGGGACCATTTGCCCAATACAATTAAAAGGGCATCCACAATCCACACCCAACTTCACTAAATTCTTTCCCTCGAATATTTTTGACAACCGTTAGCTCAATACAAATTGAAGGCCAAGGCAAAATGTGTTGTTTTTTTGTTATTAATATAAAAGAATATGAATTATTATCCTTAATTTTATCTTTTAGTTTCTGTCTAATTTTTATTGATCAGACATAAAAAGAGAGAAAATACATAAATAGTGACACCACACAAAATAAATTATGGAGCCCTGTACAGGCATTATACAATTTGTCTACAGTTTGATCTCCTCACTTCCTTCCTAGGAAAGAGAGGTTATACCATTGAATTAAACAGGATTAGATATGAACTGATCTGTTAATGAATAATTATGTTGGCTCGATTAAAGTTTGGTTCACTACAACAATACGTGATTGGACTTGTTAGCCTCGTGAATATGTTTATAAACACGAGTTCAAACACAACCTCAAGATAAAGATTATTAAAGGGAAAAAGAAATTATAAAATCCAAACAATCCTAATAAATGATCCGTGTTTATCAGCCCATGTAACTACTGGTATAGAATGATTTTCCAAACTTTTTCATTTGTGTCCGTGTGAGAGAGGACTATACACACGTGTGGGTTACCTTGAGAAAGGAGACAATGGCTTTGAGATTGAGCTTATACTCGTCAACGGGCACGTGTTGGAAAGCAGAGCATCTATCGGGAAGGCAAGCGTCATTTGCGCCGAAGAACACCGTCACCGCCAGAGGCACGGCACCACCACCACTCCCAGCCTCCTCCTCGGCCTCTGCCGGAAACACCCTCTCCACCACCCGTAGGGCCCACCTCGTATTGTACCCACTATACCCTCTAAGAACTACATCAACCTGATCACAACAAATCCATAATTTCAACAATATCATCAACCACCACCCAATATCAGAACAATCACAAACATGTAACCCACATTTCATACACACACACGTATATATATAGAGAGAGAGGAAGTTAGGTTAATACCATGCGAGAGAAGTGATGGGCGAGAGAAGCACCCCAGCCACCATCACCAAAGGACTCTTCAGTGATGGAATCTCCAAACAGATAAATCTTTCGTCTCATTTTTTTTTTTTTTTTTTTTCGTTTTTGAGAAATCTGTAGTGGGTTCTAACTTGATGATCGATGATGATCTTAATTTCTTTTACAGTATAATTCAACTTGGAGTGGACAAGCTTCACATGGCAGGCTATGTAAAATTAAACCTGCAAAAAAGACTGAAACTCTCAGCTTCTGATTCTGAAATCTGAAACTTTATGTATTGCCCCTTTCGCTATTACAAATGACACATCCAAGTAGTTAATTTTTTTCACAAAAGCTGCACCATTATATACATATATAGATATTATATATATATATATATACCCATTTAATGCATCCCAAGAAAAGCTGATTTTCTAGAGAGAGAAAGAGTGGGAGAGAGAGAAAATTATTTTGTTTCTTCTACGGCTTAATTTGGCACTCCAACACACTAAGCAAGGCAGGCTGGTGCTAAGACATTTACGTGTTTGTTTCCCAGAGTGACCCAGCAATTGCATTCCCAAAGGAAAATACATTGTTCAAGGACGTGAATAGCCTTTGCACTCTACTGTAATTACGAAACTACCACTTTTGACACTGGGGTCCACTGTCGTGTTAATTGACTTTTACATTAAATTGTCTGTAGAATCAATTCTTCCATCTACTTCCTATATCGCTATCCGAAACAGAGAGGGGAAGCAGAGTGGTACGAATCAAAATGAATGAATTCGCCGCCCTTTGGTTCTCGTTTCGTGGGGTCTTAATAACCCACGGGGAGAGGTGTAGCCATCATGATTGTGGCCTATCATACGCCACTGCATTAATGCTCCAAGGGGTATTTTCGTCAAACCAAAAAAAAAAAAGTTAAACAAGATGGGATACAAAATTTATGAAATATAAACACTCAATAAAATATATTTATTTTACAAAATATATCACTGGTATAATACGTTTTGTTGAAATATAATAATATGTTTATTAATTTATTTGGAGAATATATATAATCTTGTATCAATATTACATTCTCCATTTAATATTGTTAAGATCACATAATCTCACATTAATTCAAATTGAAGATTTTTTCCTCTAACCCAATAATCTCAGTTTGGATTCACCCATCTATCCTTCCAAATTACACTCATAAACTATATTGGGCTCCCAATCTAATCCTTACAATTGTCTAAAATATATTCATTAACGATGTATTTAGATTTTGGACATTAAAATTTTTGAATGCTAACATGAATATCCAAAACAAAATTTAATATTTACATATAAATTTATAGAGAGTCGAAACCTGACACTTTAAACTTTACCGGAAGCTATCGAAGAAGCATCTGACATATAACTTAAATTAGGTATGGATTAAGAATTTTTTTTTTTTGTTTAATTGACAAGAAACGCAGACACCTACTTATCTATACGAGAACTTAAACTCTCATCTTTCTCTAAAAGGTAGATGATATAACATAACGTTCTTGACATCTTTTTTCCCAAATTCTCACTACCAACTGAGTTATTGAAGCATCTGACATATAACTTAAATTAGTTTGGATTAAGAAAAGATTTTTATCTACCTCATATACTTAAACAGTTTTCAAAAAATAATTATTTAACAGTGATATAAATAATTAATCACGTCAAATTCGATATTAATTCGAGAATTTCTTTTTGGTTCCTATCATTACTCTTAAGAAAAACACTTTCTTTTTTTTTTTTTTTTTTTTTTTTAATATTGACAAGAAACGCAGATACTTATTTATCTATATGAGAATTTAAACTCTCATCTTTTTCTAAAAGGTAGATGAGATATTATAACGTTCTTGACACTTTTTTTTTCTTCCAAATTCTCACTATCCACTTTAAAAAATATAAAAAAAATCACTAAATCACAAAAAGTTTGACATGAATTTTAACTATAGATATTTCATATATCATCATTATTGTTAGAAAGAGGCCAAAGAAAATAATAATTATTGGTGCATGCGTTCCACGCCAAATCATTAAGAGTGGTTATAAGGTGTGCTAAGCATACCAATATTAAAAAGTTCCTACGAATGCCGTGGTCCATCTTGTAACATATAATTATAACTACTATTCAAAGATTTTCTTGCTTTAACTAAAAAAATCTTTTACGAAGAACCTTTGGGAAATAATCAACTTTACAAAATCCAACCAGCCCAACCTCAAAATTCTGATTTGACTGGGATAAACAATTCACAATGATAATTAAGATTCCTGGGATTTCGGGCTCCTCTGTGAGGATCATTAAATATAAACTTTAGATACAGATCTGCAATAAAATATTATATATATATATATATATATATTTTTTTTTTTTTCAACACAAATCCCCAAACAAAGCTCCTCCAACAGAAGCAGCAACCGAGGATCCAACAGGCTCAAAAAAAAAAAAAAAAAAAAAATCTATCTACATATTTTATGAGCTATTCTGTTACCGGGTCTTGAAACCCTATTCAATGAGAAATCCTCTCCATGCTGAAAAAGATTTTATGCAGAAGAGCAATATAATACTTCTGCATAAAATTTGTTCAGGAATAATAATTTTTACTTTGAGCAAATCATTATATGTTTCATTTGTATCTTTATTAAATAGAAGCAAAATTTTGTAATTGTAAGTTTATTTAATAATTGATATATAATTTTTTTTAATTCATTTTTAAGTTCATAATATTATATTATGAGTTTAAAAAATAATTATCTATTACAAAGTAATAAAATGATTTTATTTTTCTTTTTATTCAAATTTAATGTCTAATTAATTATGTAAGTGTATATATGAAAGTTTGAGTCAAAATTTTATATCTAATGTAACAAGAGTATATATAATTTAGTAAGTGTATAAATGAAATATTTAGTTACATAGAACTTGAATAGAAAAAAATTTCATAAGTAGGACTTACTGATCCTAAATTTTTTTATTAAGATTAATTTGTCTTCAATGAAAAAAGTAGGACTTGATGATAATTTTTTTTCATTCAAAATAAATCTAAAACCACAAATATGTGGAACTCAAGTTAACCAACCACAACATGATTAATTTGGCACTATGTTTTCATCTTTAGATTGCTACTAAAGCACAAGTAGTTTCAATTTATACTTTAGAGAAAAAAAATTATGCAGTCAAATTTATGGTTGGAAGGTCAAAACGATTGCTTTTTTATTAAACTAGTCACCACTATTGAAAATAATGATGAATATTGGATTTTTGAGTTTGTCATGTTCTCAAGTCAAATTCCCAAACAAATGCATCAACTAACTATTTTTGTTAAAAACCTAATTTCTTATATTACTTTAGGGAAAGAGAAAAAAAGAAATAGGTTCTGCTAATTGACGGCTTAAAAGGTGTAAATGATCATTGGATGGTGATATGAACTCTTTCCTTTTTTACGATAAGATGTAAACTGTTCAAGACTTATACTCTTTGTGTAGGTAAATGTTTGTGTGTTGCTTTAGCTTTAATTAAAAATAAAAAATAAAGTTCACAAGTGGAACGAAATAGAAATAAGTAGGGATGTCACATTAGTTTTCATTGTATTTTGATGGTTAGTTTTGTAATGATGAGCATTGTGATTCTAATATTTAATCTATTGGGGTTTTGTGCGTATTTCGTTATCACATTAGACGACAATTTATCAGGGTTCATGAAAGCATAAACCATTGGCTCCACTTAGGTCTTGGGGCTAAAATAAAATTTATTATAATCTTGATCTGGATTGATGCAAGACCTAAAGTTTCCAATTTATAAAGCTAATTCTTCTACTAATATGCAGGTTACGTTTCGACACATTATAGGTACGTGTGACCATCATTAGACGTTGTGTCCACTTTATGAATAATTAAATAATGTTGTACAAAGGAAATTGGAAGTTGTTTTCCAATCCCAACAAAGAACAAATTTCTAAATGCCCAGTGTGGACACATTGTGCTAAACCAATATATATATATTTATTTATTTGCTTTTTAATTGGTACTCATTATACACTTAGGTCTTCGTTAAGGTTTGAATCCTAACACTTTTTTGAGAAGTATGAGTTTGGAATCGCTAAACTACTGATCCGTTGATAGAATCCATTTCAATGTAATGACCAAGTTCAACCAATAATACTAAAGTGATAGATATATAAATGCACATCTTTCCCTAATTAGGGATGTTTGGTTTAGTTTTATGAGGTTTTTTTTTTTAAATAAAAACTAAAAGTTTGTATAAAAATTTACTTGCTTGTCAGTTTTTGATAATTATTTTTTGAAAATTCAGTTAAAAAATGATATGTTTTTAAAGAAGTGTCTTTTATAATTTTTTAAAAGCAATTGCTTATTTTTTCAGTTTTAGAACTATTTTTTGAGTGACAAATTAAGCAAATTTTTTAATTTTTTAAAATAATATTTATTGCAAAAATTAACGGAAAAAGAAAACAAAAAGGTTATTAATATACATACATTTACGAACTTGAGTCACGTTGGATTTCACTATAATAAAGACTAAAATAAAATTACAGATTCAAAATAATTTTTCAGAGTCCCTCATTATTCTCCTATAAAAAGTAGGACTGCACAGTGAAGACGTGATAAGATGTACAATATTATCTGACTTCAAACTTTCAATCCATTTTAAGGTTGTGATTTTTGTCATTTTCTTCTTATTAATTTATTATTTTTAGTTTTTAACTAAAAAAATAAAAATTATTATTTTTAGTACACATAACAAATTGAAGTAGGGAATACTGCATAAGATAGTGTAGAAAAGCACTTGGTCGCATGCTTCTGTCCACTGTCCCTTCTATCCACCATAATTCTTAGACCATATTGATCAATAATAAAATAACATAGGTTTTTCATATAAGTGGTTGGTGGGTGCATGATTCGCGGTCACGATGTCTGTTGTAATATTACTTAGGATTGTAGTGTAACGGATTCAGACGAATATTAATATAAATCAGTTGAATCGGCCGGATGTGTAACGGTATTTTAGACCTTTGAAAAAAAATTATGAACCGACCGATACGTCATGTATCAGAAATATAGCGAATCATGATTGGTGGCTTTATATTGCATATATTGAATATATATTACACAAACATTCGTCGTAGCCACATCAGCTTAATTCAAAATTTTAGCTCGTGTAGATAAAAATTGATTCATGAATCATGGTAATTAGAATTTAGAATTAATTACATTCACATTCCTTGAGATTTGTCTTATCCACACATATATGAAAGTAAATCTATTTTTGAAGAACAATGACATCCCCAAACATATATGAAAGTAAATCTATTTTTGAAGAACAATGACACCCTCTGTCAGATATTTCTAATTTTTTTTTTGTTGTTAGAGTGATAAAGCCTAGGATGGTCATAATATCTTATTCCATTCAGTAGATTGATCCATAATAAGGAACTGTGTTGAGTATGGGCTTATATTGGAACTTCCATTGTGTGAAGTATTTGGAAAGATCTGGATTAATCACTTCCCGTATGGGCTTATATGGGGGCTAAAAATCAAAATCACTTTCGATCAATATTTGCCTTTTGGTCAATGGAGTATTACATTATTGATTATTAATCATGATTCACGCGATCATTTTATTTATTTACTAGTTATTTAAACATCGCATTGCGACAGTGTGGTAAACGAAAATAAATCAATAAATAAGAGAAAGAAAACAAAATAGGAACAACTGTTTGTCTGTCATCAATTTTTTCCAAATAGTTAGTGCGTCTTCAAATTTTAAATTGAAATTCTGGTATCTAGTAGGAGTAATAAATTAGTACCAATCACATGTTAATGTCCCCGTATTTGTTAACATATGGCATGATAAAATTTTAAAAAAAAATAAATCACAAACTAAGAAACACAAAATTAATTTTTCCAAAAAAAGGAAAAATAAATTAAAATTAATGAAATTATTAACACTACTCAAACACAACACAAAATGAGTGAATTTGGGTTTAATTTAATCGTGTTTGTATCTATCAGAATCAGAGACGAATTTATGTGCATGTGGGGTCAAAAATGACTTAAACGTGTTTTGTCGTGTTGTGTTAAGTCTTGATTTATTTAGTAAATTAATTAGACGTATTATATCATATTATCCATGTAACAATCGTATTTTGTTCGTATTAAAATTTCTTAACATAAATTATTATAATGTCGTATTTGTGGCAACACATAAAATAAAATATTCATAGTCTGACCCGACACGTCAATACCAACTTGACCCTAATTACTAGTGAGAGGGGTTTGGGAAATTATAGTTAGTGAGGGTGGAAGTGGGGGAATATGACGTGGGATGTTGGTGGGGTGGTGGGTCAACGGATTCTATTATTGTGGTTGTGGATTGGGCTTTGTATAAACGTACCCAACAACCATATTTCTTATTTATTGGGTATTCTTTTTCCCTCACACGTCATGTCCTCTATTACTCTAATCCTAAACAATCAAAGAAAAGAAAGAGCGAGAAAGAGAGAGAATAAAAATTACCCAAAAAAGAAAAAAGAGAGAGGAGAGTAGTAGCAGCAGCAGCAGCCATGTGCAATTGTTGTGGTGAGGAGTGCGAGTGTCACCCTTTGGGCTTTCTTTTGGGCCTTCCCTTCGCCTTCCTTTCCCTCATCCTCTCCGTCATCGGAATCATCATCTGGATCGTCGGGTTCGTCCTCCTTTCTCTCTCTCTCTCTCTCTCTCTATATATATATACATATTTATTTATAGGTTATGATTAATATGGAGGAAGGTTAATTTGTATATGTGAATAGTGAAGAAATTAAGTGGGATTGATTTTGGGAATTGTGATGTGCAGGTTGGCGTTGACTTGCATATGCCCGTGCTGCTTGTGCGTGACGGTGATAGTAGAGATGGCACTGTGTATGATCAAGGCTCCTATTCATGTCATCAAGTGGTTCACTGATCAGATACCTTGTTAAATTTCATCCTTCTTTTTTCCTACTTTGTACTTTTGGATTTACTTAAACTTCTGAGAGAGCTCACATGAATTATTCAATTATTTTTGTTATTCGTATGTCTATTTCTTTAACTAATCATAATTGATCTTTTTATATGTTCATCCTTGAAAAGGATTTTTTCACATGAATTATTCAATTTTTTTTTTCCTTATTTTTATGCTTATTTCTTTAGCCTGATCGTAATGGTTTAAAATAAATTATATCCAAGTTTTTTTTTTTTTAGTCGATAAAAACTTTGGTTGGATTGTGTAGAGAAACGTTTTGAGAGCAATTACTTAACAATTATGAGATGTAAATACACATTCAAATTGTCAAATGTTCAGTTTTTTTTCACTCTCTCTCTCTCTCTCTCTCAATTAATAGGCCCTAAATTTTGTTGTCAAAATATCTACTCTATATATATATTTTCGGAAATAAAAATAAAATATGTTGAAATAACAAAATAGTGACAATAATGAAATAAATAAGTAAAAACAAAAAATAGAAACAGAAGAATGTTCCTTCCTATTTTAGGAGTGGGCCGAGGGTTACAACTTGAGCTCAGATCTACAAACAATTATTGACTAGTGTGCCACTCTTAAAACTGGGCCGGCCCATACGAATCTGGGACCATTGAAAGAGGAATACGCTTGGCATATCCAATTGTGTCCATTTTTTCAACTATAAGTATTTTAGTAAAATTAAAATAAAACTTGACAAAAGGAAAAGATAAACAGGCATTAATTTGGTTTCACAAGCCGAGATGGAAGGAATAATGTGATTAAAATATGAGCAATATTTATATTTTACGTGATATCATCATCTTCAAACTATGCAATTACAGTCGTTTTATTTAATGGCTAACAAATTATTATTTTTTTTTTTCAAGACAAAAGAACCAATAAAATTATGGTTATCTAGATATTATTATCATAACAATTGCAATATATATTTTTTTTCTGGTACTTGATGGACTTCACCGAGATTGCTGAGATGATTGTTTAACTGTACTTGCACATATTTTAAGAAGCTTTTAATGTTAAGGTGACGATTATGTGATGTTTGTTTACTAAAGAGTTGGTTGTAGTTGACGAATTTTTAAAAATGGTGATGCCTCGTCTGTTATTGTCTGTCTGTTGTGATTTGTATTCTACTTTTGATCAAGTTGGGCAAGTGTTTGTCCAAGTGGGTTTCAATTTTGGTCTCTTTATTACTACTAACTTATTGTTTGACCAACTCAACCAAACTTTCTAACTAAAAAAAAACTCAACCAAACTTTTATCAATACTGTACAGTACCAAGAAATAATGTGAATGAGGTAAAAGTTATTTTTTAATAGGATAAAAATTATTTCTTTTAGCTACTCACCCTTATGTATTTCAATATAAAAATAACCATCAGTAAAATAATTAAAAAGAATAAAAAAATCGAATCGACCTATTTTAATTGAATAAAAACCCTCTCTTTCATTGATTCTCAACTCTCTCCACAGTTTTTCTTCTTCTTCACTCTCTCTTTTTGCATTGCTTCCCAAACCCATCCCTCCTCTCCCTCTACTGTTCTTTTTCTTCTCACCTTCATGGGACATCATCAATCAATGAGCGAGAAGTTTGGGATATGTTTGGTGTTTCTTCCATCAATCATTCGGATCTACGCCGTATATTAACAGATTATGGTTTTGAGGGTCATCCATTACGAAAGGACCTTCCTCTGAGTGGATATGTGGAAGTACGCTAAGATGATCCAGAGAAACTGTGTGGTTTTTGAACCCATTTTGATGACCCAAGAATTCTGTTAACCTTTGGGAACAGCATAGTGACGAACAATGAAGAATCATCATAGGTCCAATCTAGAGGTCAGAAAATTTGAATGCACTTCTATGAAAAAAAAAAAAAAAAAAGAATTTCACGGGAATTGTCTTGATCGTCGGATATAAGTGAGAAAAAAATATAAAGAAAAGTGATGAAAAAGAGAAATAAAAGAGAAATGGTAAAGAAGAAAAACAAAGGAGAGAAGAGGGTCTGGGTTTGGGAATACATGAGAGAAAGACAAAAAGAGAAAGGGTTTTTACTCAATTAGACTGGGTAGATTCAACTTTTTTTAATTTTTTTTAATTTATTATTTTACTGATTTTGTTATTAGAACTGATGTGGTATTTTTTTATTGGAACTCATGAAAGATGAGTAAGGTGAACTATTTACCAGTAAGTAACTAATCATTGTCATTTAACAATATACAACCCAAATGTAGGTTTAAAATTAAAGTTTATAGAAAAATAGTTAAAAGTTTAAAATAAATTAGTTTTAATTCCAATTCCAAACCACAAATTCGTATTCGCAAACATTAGTGATGCCTCTGTGTTTAGGCCCTGTTTCTTGTTATTGTTCTGTTCTGCTGCGGAGCCAACATTTTGTTTGAAATGTTGGGGAAAAAGATGAATTTTTAAAGAATTTTTAAAGAAAATAAAGGTTTGCTGAGTGTCAGAACAGAAGAGACGGACTTCTCAAAAACCACAACTTTTTCTCCTCCTTTTACTTCTCCTCCTAATAAAGCAGTGTCAACGTTTCTCTCTCCTTCCCCTTCTAGTAAAGCAGTATCAACGTCCCTCTGTTTCTCTCTCTAGAAATGACAGTGACGATGTTGAGATCCGTCGTTGAAGCAGCTCTGAGAAGAGCACCTACATCGTCAAGCTCTTCTTCTAATCAGCTCCTTCGCCGCCGATGTTACTCCTCCGACTCCAACCCTGAACGCAAGGTCGCCGTCTTGGGCGCCGCCGGCGGAATCGGCCAGCCCTTGTCCCTTCTCATGAAGCTCAACCAACTTGTCTCTTCCCTTTCTCTCTACGATATCGCCGGCACCCCTGGCGTCGCCGCCGATGTCAGCCACATCAACACCCGCTCCCAAGTATCCATCCATCTCTTTCACTTACATTACCAAACTCTTCTCTCTCTGTGTAGTCTGTACTTGTATATGTGAGTATATGAAAAATTTATATATAATTTTTTTTTTTGGTTTTTGATAGGTTAAGGGGTACGTGGGAGAGGATCAGCTAGGGCAGGCCTTGGAGGGAGCCGATGTCGTGATCATACCGGCCGGTGTGCCCAGGAAGCCCGGCATGACTCGTGACGATCTCTTCAACATCAATGCCAGCATTGTCAAGTCTCTATGTACTGCCATCGCCAAGTTCTGTCCCAATGTGAGTCCATTTCTAGTTTTATTTTTGCCTTCTATTTTTCATGATTTCACCTGACCAAGGCTTCTCTTTTGAAATGTTTTTACATTTATATGTACCTGTGTAATACTCAATTCAGCAAATATTTTTTTCCAACTTTTGTGATCAATCCTGTTTCATCATTATACTTTATCTAAGGCTGCAATCTCAGTTTAACCATGTTTATTTATTTTTCTTTCTCAATTTATCTGATATCTCCCCAATTGTTATTGCTTTAACTATATTATGAATATATTTATTTCTAATTTGACTCCCCTGCTAATGTATTCAGTTATTATGAATAGATAACTTGACTGCTAATGTAAAAGTTTTGTTACGACTTTTAACATGTGCTTGTCAATAGGTACATAAATTTGTTTCTTTGGTATGTATAATATGTATGTGTTTGTATTTTTGGTAAGTTTCAGAAATATTTGAACTTCATGATTTAATTAGGCACTGGTGACTATGATAAGCAATCCAGTGAATTCAACAGTGCCGATTGCGGCAGAGGTGTTTAAGAAGGCTGGGACTTATGATGAGAAGAAGCTATTTGGTGTGACTACACTTGATGTGGTTAGGGCTAAAACTTTCTATGCTGGGAAGGAAAACGTTCCAGTGGCTGGTACATCCCATTTTTTGCTCTGAATGGTTATTTTAAATTCATTTTCCTGTTCTGTTTGTTTACTGGATAAAAGTAGGAAAAGAAAATCCATTTAGACTATATTCAGTCCTAGAAATTAACATGGTCCAATGCAAATACTTTAAACAGTACAGTTAAAGATAACTGCAACCATATTCATAAAATGGTATCATTCAAGTATGAGGACACTACTTTTCTTGTATTACTAATGAACCTAATCACATCATTGTGCTTAGTTGAGCTGATTCATTTTTTAAAAAATAATAAGCTAAATTAGCAAATTAGAAAATGATGAAGTTTAGGAAGTCATTTTTTTTTTCTTTCTTTATTTATTTTTGTTAGTTTTCCTTGCAACCAAACTGATGGTTAAAGAAAGATGCATCTTCCCATAAGAATGCGTCTCTCAACTTCAAAATTCTGCCTGTGTTTGTACTTCAGAAGTGAATGTACCTGTGGTTGGTGGTCATGCTGGCATAACAATTCTCCCCCTATTTTCACAAGTATGGTTTCGTCTTTCTTTCTCTCTTGATTTCACTTTATATTCTGACCTGAATGAGATGAGACTGGGACTCTTTTGTAAAAGTTCAGTCGATTACTAGTTCAAGCATTCTGATATTCACATCGTCATTGGTGAATAATGTTTTAGGCCACACCAACATCCAATTTATCAGAGGAAGATATTGCTGCTCTTACTAAGAGAACCCAGGATGGGGGGACAGAGGTCGTGGAAGCAAAGGCTGGAAAGGGATCCGCTACATTATCTATGGCGTGAGTGAGAATAGCAATTTCATTTCACATTTTTATTTTTCAAAATACTGTTGTTCTAAATTAAACAATAAATTGTGTACTATATTTGAGCTGTTTGCTGTAGCTTGATGTAGTTTGGACAATTAAAAGTTGAATTTTTAAGTAGCCATTTGGAGTTTGTGAAACCTGCTTTGCTGAGCATATTTTATATGGTATCAAACTTACGTCTAAAGTGTTTTAGCATCCGAATGTGGACCTTTATGCAGCATCTTACATGCAAGATTATGAATGGTTCTTTAGAATTAGCTTTAGAGCATTTTATTTAAATGTGAGCTGAAGCTTGTTTTCAGTGAAAGTTTTTATGATTGTTGTCATTATGTTTGTGTTGCAATTATTACATTATACCTGTGAGAGATTTGATGTTTAGAGGTTATATTGATGGACTAACTGATATGAATCTGATTTCAAGTGAAAATAAGTTGCAAAAATAAGTCATTACATATCTAGGTTTAAATAATACTCCCTCCGTCCCAAAATAAGTGTCCTACTTTCCTTTTTTGGCTGTCCCAAAATTAGTGTCATAGTTCAAAATCCAATACACTATTTTTTGAATATTCCTAATATACCCTTTGTCTTGAAATTATAAAAGTAATTAAAACTTCTAAAAAAAGCTATTGTGGATCCCACAATTCAAATTTGAAAGCTCATTGCATTAAGTGGTTGGGTCAAGACAAACTACTTTTGTACCGTACTCATAAATTGCTACAAGGGCATATTAGGAAATTTATCTCATACTACTATAAAAAAAAATCATAAAAAATAACACTCTTAAAAAGTTGTATTCCCCAAAAACGACACTCTTTGCGGGATGGAGGGAGTAATATTTTTCATCTGAGGAAGATCCATTTACTGTTAGACATTCTGTGGAAAGTTTAGCTTAATGTAAAAATCGTTGTGTAGAAGTTGTAGATATCCATCAAATGTTGAAGAGGCATGATTAGTTTGCCATAATCAGTTTATAAGGCAAAGCTACAAATTTATGGGTTCTCATGATTATCTGGTCAATGGGCAATGAAAGAAATCCCATGGTCTAGCTGACGATTCCCCTACTACAAGGGTGCATGCCATGGTTTATATGGAAATTTGAGTTAATTTGCAATAAAAATATACAATAAAAGGGTTTTATGGAAACTACATGTAGGGTACTTGTATCGTGATGAAGATACTATTCTTTTACCCTTACTTTTGATTTTCCTGTATTATATTAATTTTCCTATTCTATATTAAATAAGTTTACTATTAATCTTGTTGTGCAAGTTGAACTTATTGCACTCTCCTTGTGTTTTGTTCTAATAAGAATGAGTTGGAATTTCCTTCATTTTTTTTTTTTTTCCTTTTCATTTTCTTTCATATTATATCTTTGTTCTAAAGTTGTTGATGATGTTCTCTGCAATCATAGAAGTGAATCATGATTGAATTGGAGATTAATAGCCATGTATTTTGCAGTTATGCTGGAGCCATTTTTGCTGATGCTTGCTTGAAAGGGCTTAATGGAGTACCAGATATAATCGAATGCTCTTTTGTTCAATCAAGCATTACTGAATTGCCTTTCTTTGCCTCTAAGGTGAGTAATTTGAACTTGTTGATTTTCATGTCATTGGGATATATATGATATGTTATGTGAGCAGCTTGGAAAGTACCAGTGAATTTAGTTGGATTATTTACCTGATTATTTTGTATTTTTATAGCCTTCATTGCTACCATTAAATTTTAATTGAATTATCATTGACATGCTTGTAATGTTGATATTGACATTCATCCTTCCGTATGGGTGTCGATATAATCCAGTAATGACATAAGTGGTGCTAACTGGATACTACTTGATTTTGGATTGTTTTAAATGTGTGTTTTGATCATTACTTGTTTTACATCTGACTTTGTAAGAAACTTACCTCTGATCATGTCCTAAAGGGATTTTTATTTATTTATTTTAACTTGTCCTAAAGGGAATTGGCCGAACCTTGTTTTCCAATAGTTCTTTGATGTTTATAAGAATTTTATATCCTGTTGAAAAGTCTTGTCTTGTTTGTAAATGTTATGGAGGTGTACTCTTAGGGAGTTGAGCTCTCTATTACTGAAGCTGATGCACAAGTCAAATTTATGTTAGTATAGTATATCTATCTATGGTTTCAACTATCTCCTGTCGGACATGTTGTCTTTTTAGATATTAATTACACCTATTGCAATTTCAGTCAAAGGTTTATTGGAAAGATTGTTTAGTGGATATGTCCCTGTGACTGCATTCCGACTCATCGTTGGTTTAGACCATTAGGCTCTAGTATAGTTCTAGATGTATGTGTATGTGCATCCATTGCAAAGATATGCATGTGTGACTGTGTACTTATATTTCTATGAGTATAATATATATATATATATATATATATATATATATATATATATATATATAGATCATATATATCTATCTACAGTTGTGACACCTCACTTTCTTGTGGCTCGGAGGTTGTAGTACCTAAATATCTCAGATTATCCAATATTTTAATTTCCACCCTAAACATTTCATGTTAGTTCATTCCTTTTATGATGGCAGAGGTTGACCAGCTCATTACAACCTACCCATGTGTAATGATTACAATGTGTCTTCACTTGCAATGTTCCGGTGGTTGAATCAAGTCGGCTTAGGTTGCAGTTTCACAGGTCACAGGTTTATATAGCAGGCTGGTCTTGTCTGCCTCTTAGAACAATGTCTAATTATCTTTTGGATGACATAGTGCAATAGAAATTGGTACTTGGTAGAATACTTGTTTTCTTCCTGTGTACCTTGAATTCTATTCTCTGGTATCCTGTTTCCTTGAACACTTGCAATCCTGCATAATGAATGCCCTGAGTTCTAATTGTTTGATTAAATTCAAGTATCAGATGTTCTGACACGTTTGTGAACATTTTGATGCAACAGGTAAGGCTTGGAAAGAATGGGGTGGAGGAAGTCCTTGGACTGGGTACCCTATCAGACTACGAGAAACAAGGTCTTGGAAATCTCATCCCTGAGCTCAAATCTTCAATAGAGAAGGGAATCAAATTTGCCAATCAGTAGCTAGACTAATCTTATTATCTTACTATGATTGTTGGGGTGCTAATCCCCTATTGCTCTTTCTGTTTGAAGTCATTGCAATTTTGCTTCTGCAGAAGAGAAATCATATATTTACGAAATGTTTTGCCCGCCTGTCAGAGATGAGAACTAGGGCATTATTGACTCTTGAGATCCAATTAATAAGTTTCACTGTCTTGTAATAGTTCTTCTAATAAGCTACACAACCATTTTTTGTCCTTAGTTGGACTTGAATCTTTGACCTTCTAGAGATACCACTAGGCTACAACAATACAACTGCTGGTGTTATTTTTATGCTTGCAGGGTTATTTTTCGATGTATCCAACAAATTGAAGTTCTAAATTGAATGGGATATTAAGTGCAGTTGGTGAAGTTTTTATTGATGCTTTAAAAGCACTTTTGGGGTAGTTGATTTTCTTAGATGAAAGATAGGACCCTCCTTTTCTTTGGTTGTTTTAATGAGGTGAAAACTTCAAACCATAACAGAAATGGATTATGATACTACATCATTGAAGCCTGATGTATGATTTTAGTTTCTACAAGGAAGGTGCTTATCTGAAGCTAAGCCAATGTGTGCATCTACTCAAAATGGTTAATGGTGGAACACTTGACGTGTGATGGATCACAGACGTCCGGTGTGTTATAGCACTGTGCTATAAATGCACCAAATCTTCTCACTTGCGTTACTCCCTTTCGCTTGTAAGGAAGTTTTTAGTGAAGAATTTAATGCAATTAACCAGACGAAGGAATGAGTATTCCATTACCATTTCTCTCCGATTATGTCGGTTGTTTTTTATATTTCATTGCTACCTTCTGCTCTCAACGTTCAAACGGCCTAACGTCAGAAGGATGATGCTTTGAAACTTATTATGTGGGTAGAAACACGCCTTGTAACTCCAAGCCTATACAACACATTTATGATCCCAGATTGGGGAAGAAAAGGAGCAAGAGAAGAGGTGAGAATGGGATTCTTCGCGTGAGCGGCATAGATAACAAACTTTTGGGAAGTGAAGTTAGGTTGTCTTGGAACAGAGCTACTCCAAATGAGGAGATAAGTGGCCTAACAAGAGGCCTGAGCTGCCATACTTTGTTTGTTATTAGGCAACAGTTCCCCAATATGTGGGATGGTGATTAATACAGTTATTTCCAAGATTTTTGACGCCTTCTGATTTGTTTGGATGCTGTTTGGATCGTGTATGCTCATCAAATATGCTGTAGCTGTGTGTTTTGCTGTTGCAGTTTGGTGTTTTAATGAATTCCTCTTTTGCTCTTACTTGTTTATTGTTATTTTGGTTGGAGTGGTTGTCTTTATGTTTTGTTCTTTTTGTTTCTAGTATTTCTCTCCTTAAAATGTTATGATGGTTTGCTAGCTCTTGGTTTTGGTTGCTCTCATATTAATAAACTTTATTATATATCAAACCAGAACAAAAATCAAGGCACATGGAAAGAGTAACATTGAACCTTTCTTGAGCACAATTCAGTCAATTCCGATTAAGGCTTTTACATAAAGAATGAAAATATAAAACGAACACACAAATTTTAATAACATACCATGTATATTCCCAGATTAAGAGAACCATACTAATTAACAAATAGTTTACCCTTTTGGTGAAGCAAAATGAACAATGGACATCAAACATGTCAAAAGTGAACAAACATATTAACAGAGGAAACTCGAATGAAACTGAGTTGCATGCATGCTGAATTTAGGAGTCCCAAATGGGGCCAAAGGCAGGAATTCCCGCATCCTTGCATGCATTGACAACGTCTCTGCTCCCTTCCGGATTGCTGGTAACAATCACAACTTGTGCTCCCCATCTTTTGGCAGCATCAACACTCATCTGAGAGACGTTAGGCCGGCCAAGCACCGCGGTGTCATGGACAATCACTTTCTCCTTAGGGTGCCCACTCATCATCTCTTTGATTTCCTTTCCAAAGTTCTGTTCAATCCCTTTGGCCACCCAAAGCACGCAACCATCAGCCGAACATGGCTGCAACAGGAATGACAGGAACACACATATGCCTGAACCCGTCGCCACCAACAAAACCCTGTCGTACATGTTGGTAAGATAAGGCAAGCCCGCGAAGTGCACCTGTCGAACCCATAGGTGGCTTGGTGGGTTGGAGACCAAGGACTTTGTGAAGTCACCAACTGCACCAGCCAACATCATGTGCTCTTGCTTATCATCAGAAATGATGCCAAAGGCGTGCCATTCTGAGAAGGGCGACGGACTAATCCTGCCCAATATACCGGATTTCACTCCTCCTTCGAACTTGATTATGGAGGCATGGCCGGAAGGAGCAGAGACCTTAACCGGGACACGTCTCACAGTCACCCATGGAATGATAATTAGTACTGTAATGGCAAGTGTAAACCAAAACTCCTGGTGTTTAACCAACCTAGAACCAAAATGGTCCCTGTAGGATTTAGTCATGGGATCATAGGATATTTTGAGGATGATAACCGCCCAAAGGAGTATAAGAGCTGTCCAACCAGCAAAACGATGAGTCCTTTCGAATACATTATGATGGAGATGTCGAACAAGAGGGAATGCTGCCAAGGAAGATAGGCAGAGAAGGGAGAGAATGGCGGAGGCAACGCCAATGATCTCAGGTGAAGTGTTCTCTCTGTCATGGAGAGTAAGGACTAAGGCATAGATAAGCCATGCTATTGATGACACACCACAACCACTATGTATCCCACCAAGAGACTGTAAGAGGGATGTGGTGGCTGTCTTGATTCTTAGAGGCACACATGACCAACCCAAGACGTTCACTGCGAGCCAGAACACAACTCGCAAGAAAGCCTCACTTCGACAGAGTGTCAAAGCAAAAATGTTGGCAAGGGAGAAAAGGACAGCTTTGCGCTTGGCGTAAGAGAAGTGTCCATTTGCTGCAACCACCAAGGCAGTGATGTTTAAAGCCAAGCAAACTACAAAGAGTCACTTGTAGACAGTGAACAAGCCTTGATCAAGCAATATAACAGACAGTCTTGACTCTTTTGGCTTAGTAGGCTTGGAAGGTGGTTGTTCACGCTTGCTACAAGCCGGTGGAAGAGGAGGTTCCGAAACTTGCTTGTTCAGTCCCTCATCTTCTTGGCCTTCTTCTAAGGACTCCAAACTGTGGTCAACTTCCTCGTCATCCTCAATCTCCAAGTCACAGAAATGGTTCCTGGCACGACTAGTGGACCTTTGTATCGCATCTCCAGATGGGAAAACCTTGGAAAAGCTTCCCCAAGGAAGCCAAGATTTTTTGTTGCCACCGTGCTGATTAATGGACTGTGTTGGAATGGCGAATGTATCTAAATGAGGTTTGATCTCAAACGCAACACCTCTACAGCTCGATAACCTATCAATTCTTTTCTGGGGCTCCATGGTTGATTGATTCTCTCTCAAGACCACAACACTAGCTAGTAATTAAAATGTACCAGAGCTTGAGAGAGCTTGTTCTCTGGTGGCATAAGAAGGTGAGTATTTATAAGCATGTGTAATGTGTATGTACGAAGTGCACGTAGCTGGCACATGGTAATTTTTCTTTGACTAACTCAAATAGGTTCATTGACCTCCATTTTGCGTGTACGTGTGTTGTGTGAGGTTTTTATTATTATTAATTTAGAGTATAGTAAAATTAATTGCATAAACGGCTCTTTATATTCACCGAACAATCAAGTAGACTTAGTCAAGAAACGGTTGTTTGCGTGATAAATTGTGTCATTGCTTTATAACTTTTATCGCCAACCATTTTGATTTCTCCGAATGCATTTTGATAATCATACGAATTTTACATATTTTCATCAACTTAATTGAATGTGAAGTTGAACAGATCGCAAGGTAATTCCGTGATCTTCAAACACCTACTTTTAATTAGTACGGCAAATTTTGCATGAATCAAAACGTATTAGGCAGCCACCTCAATAGTGACGTGGACTGGAGCCGACTGTTCAGCACGGTTCCAAGGAAAGTCGGCCAATAGTGAGACAAAAGGAGAAAATCTAGGGAGATATATTTCAGCCATTTTATTGATAAATCAAAACGTATTAGGCAGCCACCTCAATAGTGACGTGGACTGGAGCCGACTGTTCAGCACGGTTCCAAGGAAAGTCGGCCAATAGTGAGGCAAAAGGAGAAAATCTAGGGAGATATATTTCAGCCATTTTATTGATAAGATTGTTGCTAAATATATTTACAGAGATTTGAATCAATTCGAAAAACTAGAGATTTAGTCACAATAAATAACTAAATCCCTTATTGTGACTAAATCTCTAACACTTTGTTTGGAATGCTGGATTTTATGAGATTTGGATTTGAAAATAGGATAACTAAATATCTACAAAGTAGGAATTTAGTTGAAGAAGGAGAAGGAAGGTCGTTGAAGGTGGCAACCGTGATATGGGCAAAGCTAAACAAGGCAATTGACATTTACGAGTATTCAATAATGTGTTTAAAGGGAAATATTACAGCTATCCGAATATAGAAGTTGCTAAAAATTAGCAAACTGTATAGCAACAAGAGTTGATCAAGTCAAATGAATTAGTAGATGACCGAGAAGGGTATTCGGCTAAGGAAACTGAAAGCATCGATATTGAAGGCAAAGTACACTGGATTTGACTCAGTTTGAATTTTGAGGAGAAAGAATCAAGGCAGAGAGATATTTCAGTAAGAAATAAAAATAGATTTGTTGATTTAGAACTTCTATAAATAAGAAAGTTGTAATCCTATTCCAATTTGTCTAGTACCAACCACAAATCAGTATAAATCAAAAATTCATCAAATGACTCAACGTAATCTTATTTTTAATTATTTTATCCAAATGGCAAATTTCATTCGAAGAATATAAGTTCCAATAACTTATCATTCTTTTTGCAATGCTTAATTATATTATTTACAATTATTTACAATTTATTCTTTATTTTCTGCAAACGAATTCAAATGACAAATCTTTGATCAAATTCATGTTAATTTAATTCGGCCTGTTCTATTCCATTGCACCATTACTTTTCAATCCATTTCATTTCAACCATCTTTATTTTAAAGTCAATTTAAATTTAGCTAGTTCATTTAAATTACTTTACTTTTCATTACATTTTTATTTCCTTTAAACACCTTAGATAAAAAGTCATTGCACCAAGGCAAAAAAGAACCTTACTAGAAGTTCTTACTAGTCTCTCTCCCACACATTCACATGAGAGTCGGTCATCGGAAAAAGGGACTGGCTGGTGTTCGAATCAATATTTGGAGTGTTTTAAACAAATACTCTGACACGTCCGCAAGAGTCCATCGACCGGCGTAAAACCAAAAAACCGTGCGAACAGATACATAGTACGTATCTTCTATTTGATAAATGCTTGTTTGTTATTCAAATGGTTAACACTT